CAACCCATGTACGCTTCCCACTATCTTAACCCACAATCTTTCTTTCTCCAATGAAAATCTCCACAGCCATTTCCCTAGTAATCCTAAGTTCCTAATCCTTATATTCCCAATTCCCAAACCTCCCTCCTTCTTACCCCTACATACCACCTCCCACCCGACCCTATGGTCCTTCTTCTCCTCCCCCAGCACCCAAAGAAAATCTCTCATTAGTTTTTCCAGCATGCTAGCCACCTTAGCTGAAATCTTAAAGACGGACAAAAAATAGACAGAAAGGTTAGCCAGAGTAAACCTAAATAAGGTGATTCTCCCTCCAAGAGACAATCTTCCAGTTGGCAAGTCTCTTTTCAAACCTCTCCACAACAGGGGCCCAAAAATCACCTTTCTGAGGATTATCCCCAGAGGTAAACCAAAGTAATTTAAGGGCCAATTAAATACTACACACCCCAAAATGTTTGCATACTCCCGAACCTCCCCTTCCCCCATATTAACTCAAACTATACAACTTTTCTCAAAATTCACCCTAAGGTTTGGCATTTGCTCAAAAAGTTGTATAGTGAGCTTCAGGTTTCATATCCTATTGATATCCCCTCCTTCACAAAACAGAATTGTGTCGTCTGCAAATTGTAGGTGTGTAAGTGGTATATTTTCTCTTCCAACTCCCCAACCTCTTATTAAATCCCTAGAATCTGCTTTAGATATTAGTCTCCCCAACACATCTGCAGCAACCAATGTAAACAAAACAAGGGATAGGGGGTCTCCTTGTCTAATCCCTCTCAAAGCTAGGAAATAGTCCACCATTGTCCCATTCACCAAAATGGAATAATGACAATCCCTAATGCAACCCATCGCCTATTTGCACCAAATGTCTCCAAACCCAAAGTTAATCATCACCTCCAATAGGAAAGACAATCAACCAAGTCATAAGCTTTTTTCTAGATCTAATTTACAAACCACTCCTCTCCTCCTGGATCTCTTATAGTCATCTAGGCTCTCATTTGCTACAAGTATCTGATTTGTTATCTGCCTCCCCTTCACAAAAGCTCCTTGATTATTTGCTATGATTGCTGGGAAGCACCTTCCAAATTCTAAAGGACAACACCTTAGTGATGATCTTATAAAGAATATTAACTAGGTTGATTGGCTTGTAATCCTTTAGATGACTTGCATCACTTTTCTTGGGTACCAAAGCAATGAAAGTGGAGTTTAGCCCAAGATTAATTACTCCTCTGGTATGAAATTCATTGAATACCAACATTAAGTCCTCCTTTAATATCTCTCAACAATCCTGGTAAAAAGCCATCGTAAAACCATCTAGATCCGATGCCTTTGATCTATCCATTAAGAAGACCACCTCTTTTATTTCTTCCAAATCAAATTTCTTTTCCAACCACTCCCTATCTTCTCTCTTCAGCGTTGGCCATTCCAAACCTTCCAGCCACACCCTTTTATTTAGGGGCCTTCTAAAAAGGGTGTGGCTGCCACCACCCTATCTTCTCTTTTCCAACGCACTGCCACCACCATCAAGATAATACAGTCCACCAACTTCATGCCCTCCACCAATCTTCATCCCCGTCTTGAGATCCTAAAAAACACAAGAAGGGCAAAAAGTGATAGAGCAATTAAGGACTTGGTCAACTTACTAACAGACATAAGGTTAAAAGGAAACTTGGGAACATACAAAATTGAGGATAAAGATAAAGAGTCTATGTTAACATTACCAAAACCACAAATGGAAGATGTGGAACCATTAGCAAGGGTAACAGAGTGTGATGTTGGGCACTGAGAGAGGGAGGAAAACACACCTGGAGTTCCAGTCAAAATGGGATTCAGTCAGTGCAAAGCCCATTCAAACAACCATCATAGCCTTGCATTGGGAATATCTCCCCATGAAATAAAGCATAGAAGTACGGAGATGTTCTCGATGCAAGGCTGTTCGAACAGTGTTCAAACGGGCCTTGCCCTGACTAAAGTCGATCTCGTTCCAATCATTCTCCTTCCCAGGAACATCTGTAGATATAAAGGGCATCCGATCAGCTGGATGGCCCTCCTGTCTAGAACTACAATCACCGGTCACTGCATGATTTGTCCAAGTTGAAGGTGGGCCATGCAAATCATAACAATAATTGATGGTATGTCCTTCCATACCACAGTGCATACATCTTCTTGGACCAGAACTACATCCTCTACCACAAACTCCCCCTGAATCTCGACCTCCAATACGTCCACCACCACCACTACGACCATACACTGGTCCACTGCTACCACTACGCTCAGATTGAGCTCCCCGAAGCTTCACCTCTAACACCACGACCTCCCCCTCTTGACACTACAAAGGCTGACCTGTCAGAGACACTAGAATTCTCCATAGGTCCAATAGAGATCCTCTGAAGACGAGCAAACACCTCTTCTAAAGATGGAAGAGTTGACCCTCCTAGTATTTGTGCCCTCACTGGTTCATATTCAAGTTTCAGTCCTACCAAAAATCTGGTCACATTTAGTTCTCTCTATTGTTGCTGAATTTTAACATCAGAGGTGAGGGGATGGTACACATTCAGCTCATTGCAAAGGTTTCTCATGCTATTATAAATTTAGTACTAAAAAACATAATAAATTCATTAAGTTTTATGAGAAATCAGAATTTATCATAATCTTAATACTACAAAAAGGAGAATCAGTTTATTAAATTTATAATAAAACATAATGTATTATAACWTTAATATTTAAAAAAAAATCAGAATAAATGTATTTCTATTTACTAGTGTGAAATAAATATATTAGAATTTATAATAAATCAGAA